TTATCACTTGAATATAGACCGGCCATAACTAGTTTAAAGCAATTGTTTTGGGCAGGTGTTATGTCATTGTGTTTAGTTTAACCGAGTACTTTGAAGTCCTGCCAATGAGAACAGGAAGGCGACCATGTAAATCTACTTTCGCTTAATTGGCAGTTAAATTTTGTTCCAATGAAATAAAGCTTTACAAAGTATAAACCTGCGAATTATCACAAAATAGGTTTGTAATTGTTATTTACGAGTATGCCTATTACTACCACACAACGAGAAACCGTTTATAATAGATCTCAAAAATATATCCGCAGAACCACATATGAGAAACTCTTTATGGCTTGATAACCACAAAACCAACTCCGTTTAAAGAAAGGAAGCTTCTGTCTGTTTCTTTCTTAACAATTTTAAACAATTTCATTCGGTTTCATGAGACTAGAAATGGCGAACTTGCAAATAACTAAATCACGAAGAAACTTTTTTCGTAGGATTTGAGGTTTTCATGGCGACGAATCTGATGATGGAGGCAGCAAGGACCTCTGAAATGTCTGTTTTTTTCAAATATTCGTTACAAAATATTGTGCAAATATTTTGTAGACCGTTGGTCTCTTTCTTAAGCTTTTGTTATAGGAGTGTCCAAATATAAATTATGTTAAAACACTGTATTTGAGAACATAATATAAAAATATTAGATACAGTGGAACCTTGATATAACGCGGGTTTCGGGAGACAGCTTCTGTTCCCGCGTTATATGTGAAATATTTAAAACATATGTAATGGTATTGGGGAAGAGGATCACAGCCGCGGTATATCGGGGTTCCACCGTATTCAGACAATTGTTTATTAGTGTCTTGTATTTGTTTCGGTTTTCGTGTGAAACAATTTTAGATTTTTAGAAATAAATTTATCACTCTGTACTCTGGGGATACGAACATATTTTACCGTAAAAGCAAGTCGCCTTTTAATCTGTCTTCCGCTTTCTACAGAATTTGCTGCATAAAGTTTGTGTCACCGAACGTTTGCTCCACCGTCATGCTTCGTGATTCCTTCCATTAAGGACACTGACATGCGGACGATGGAATGAAAGTTCCAACTGTTTTCTCTGAGACTTGTGATTAATGCCCGAGCATAACTCAAATTGCATTTGCCCATCATTCCGTCATCGTCGGTGTTACGTGACCCTAAACTGTGAAAACTGTCTTAAAACGGAACTCCTTTAAACATAAATCTGTTTTTTCTGGATATCCCCCCCCCCAGAGATTATAGGACAAAATAAAATGCAAAATTTCTTCGGTTGAGAGAAAATTATAAACACGTTAAAGCAGAGGTTTTTAAACTTTTGTATTTGGTACCCCTGTTGAAGTCAAAATAACGTATAATACCCGATCCAAAGAAACTTGAAAACAAACAGCTACTTTTTTATTGCTGATAGAAAAGATGTACATAGTACGGCTTAGTTATATTAATGCTAAATGCATTTCAATTTATTTCAATACATTAAATTAATTGTGACACAGGATTCTTCATAGCTCACGTCTAATTAATACCGGTACACAGTTTGAAAATCGCTTCGTTAAAGTAATATTTATTTCTCTAATTGCGAAACAACATAACTGCTTACTATAGAGAAAGAGAAGGAAAATAGAAGAGGATAAAGGACGAATAATAAAGAAAGAAAATAATTAAAGCTAAAAATGTGTTTGCTGCCCTGTCAATGTCTGATACTCAGAATGAACTTTTGAGTCGTAAATGCATATAGTGCATACAAGAGATGATAATGTTGCGTCATACTGTGATGATTATAATTGTTTAATTTTAACCGTCTAAAAAAAAGATGATTCTCTAATTGTAAATCGAACATTTCGATAGAAAGAGCATCATTTTAATATATTTTAAATATTTTAAATGTTAAATGTTAATTGTAGTAATAATATTTTAATATTTAATAAAATATTTTATTGTGATTAGACGGTTAAAATTAAACAATTAGTACATACAACGTAAAATATTTTTCCCGGGTTCCATAAAAGTTCGGAAATTTCTTCGCTGTCTAAGGGACTATCAGCTTCTCAATACGGTCTCTGCCCCTTGGAGTTAATTAAATAACTGTGTTTAATGTCAGTTTCCATCCATGAAAGAAAATTGTATTATCAGAGCAAAATAAACAACGATAAATTAATTTGACAACGTTGTACAATTTTGTTTCTTAAGATGCTTCTCTGTGGCTTGTTTCAGTACCTCCTGACATCCTCTACGATGAAACAAGTGCGGATCTGCATGTCCAAGAGGGCGAGAACGCTACGCTTGTATGTAAGGCGACGGGGAATCCCCGTCCTCGGATCACGTGGCGCAGAGAAGATGGTGAACCTATTCTCTTACGACGGGGACCAAGGGATGTCATAAAAGGTAGTGTAACAACTCCTCCAGGGTTAAGGATACATTTCTAGCTAATGTGGCTGATTTAACTTCATGCATAATTCATCTCATTCTTGTAGGTTAAACAACACGCTGTTTTAAACCTACTCCAGAGGTAGTTAATGGAATATAGTCTGTTGCGTATATTTACCAATTTAGCCTTTTCTATGCTTTGCTCCACGTGTTCATTTTAACTAAATTTACTCTCTACGGATACATACCCAGACACACGCAACACAAATGTGTTTCATACGAGATTATGGTTTTGTAGAATGGTTAGTCTGTAGAACTTTTTCGCGCGTTGTGTTTGAATCTGCTTGTTTGTCAGTGTTAGCCTACTATCGGATTCCTCATCGTGATGATATTACGCCCTAACTGAATGAGATAACGTCCCTCTTGGGAAGCTACGAGTTGCAGAGCGGTTTAAAAAAATCTTTGCCGTTTACGTAACCCACCAGCCCCCAAACATGTCCGTATACTGAGCCATTTGAATCCAGTCCACACCCTCATAACCTATTCCTTTATGATTAATTTTGTGTTTTCCTATCTACTTGTAAATCTTCCACTTTGTAACTTCAGACCAAAACTGGATATTCGTTTCTCATATGTTGCATGCACGCCACATGTGTCGCTATGATTTCGTCACCGAGTTGATATAAATTTATCAAAAATGTAGAGGAATAAAAATAGGATAAAATAATAAGTTGAATTATTAAGACCTGTTAATGCCTGTTTATGAATGTAAGGCACAAGATATACTGTTAGATGGTATTAGAGACGGAAAATAGAGACATGTATTGAGATTGGTTATAATACAGCCCACACTTAGACGTGAAGCTGGAAACTTCACTAACGTAAAACAAATATTAATTCCAGGTGGAGTTAGAAACTGCACTAACTCAAATTACGAGGCATACTTTAAGATGGAATTAGAACCTTCACCAAGGCAAAATACAAACCGCATTTTTAGTTGGTGTAGAGATACGCTGAGGTGAAGCTGTAAACTTGACTAACACATAATACGAATCATACTTGTCTTAAGGTCGAAACTGTTTAATTAGAAACTGAATAAATTAGGCATGTTTGTTCGTTCTAAAAGGAAAGTGTAACAAGGCACTAGAGCATGGCCAAATTATTAATGACCCTGAGCAGACAATTTCCTATGTATAATGCATGGATTAACGAGGCAACGAAGGTTGCTGACGTCAGTCAATTACTTGTGCAGGAAGCAGGCGTCTCCCGAGGCATGTCCCTAACGTTAAAATTTTCCGGTCTTTATACTGTGACTGCAGGTGACGCAGCATTGAGGAATATTTTAATGGTAAAGAGAACGAACAAAACCTCCCTTGTTTATAATTGAAGCGACAGCAATCCCTTCACGAACAGTAAACACAGTAGTTCAATCATTCTGTATGAGAATCCTCCGTTATGGACATTGAATTTTCTGTTTTATTCAAAGGCTTAACTAACTCTTGGAACAGCTTATTTCTTTAATATTTGATGGTTTCAAAACTGCTCAAGAAATCTGCCGATTTTATGGAACCCAAAAGTTTGTTACTACTAACCTTTAAACCTTCTCATACGTGAGGTGAAACCAACTTGCCCTTTCACAATTAAAATTATAAACATTTGTTAATATTTGAATATCTACTGTGTCAGATAATTATCTTACAGTGACAGAGTTGTATATAGGCTTTTTAATTTAATATGAAAATGCTTAATGGTTTCGAACAATATAATACTGACATGCCTTTCTCTAGGTAAAATTTCACACAGTTTCCTACGAGCGGTTTAGTCCGATCCAAAATTTACAGAGTATGTTTTGGTTTCTTCTTGACATCAGTTTTATCGTATGCTCTACACTTTAAGCTCTTTTAATATTTTACGAGTTGCACCTTATGAATTAGTGCTACATTGTATTCTTCTTTATTCTGTACTGATTCAATTGTTTGTCGGAAACTGTTGAAGAAAAAGGAAAATAAAATTTCATAAACCTTCGATAACACAAACTGTTTGCACCATATTTTATTGCCATGGCTGTTATCTTGATATCACGTCATATTAAAAGAAAATGGTCTCGTGTACAGCTCCAAAACCTTGATGCAAGAACACGCGTTTATTTTTCAGGAGGCAAAAACTAATGCATTGCTGTATTCTGGGTTTTTTTAGGACGCTATCCGAATGACATTCCTTTTCCAGCCACTTCAACAACCTGTTCCCATCCATACCATTCCTGGACGTACATTCCTCTTTGGTTTTCCGTTTGTAGAACTTCGCGGCAACTATTCACAAAACAATGTTGGTATAAATGCGTCTACGTATTTATATTTGTTGTTCCTTGATTTACACTAATGTGTATGCTTACTGGTTTATTAACAGAAGCTTTAAAACCTTGCTATTCGTAAATACTTGAATAATTTTGTATTTAATACAAATCTACATAGTCTGTATTATAGAGAGAAATAACCTTAGAAGCCTAATGCCATGACTTCAGAGAATTTTGCGTGTTATTTAATTTTTCACGAAGTAAATGTAAGCTATATAAGCAAAACAATTCCATGTACCTTATTTGAAGTCACAATGGTTAAAATACGAATTGTGGTCTTCTGGGTAGTGAAGTTGTGTATTCTTGTAGGCGGTTACCAGCATTTCTGTGGGACGTATCGCCTCCATTTGTAAAATATCACAGCCCACAGTCTCGTGTTGTTTTATCAAAATGTTTATATACGACAATATGAAACTACCGCACAGCTGAACAAAAATACCGAACATGGAACATATTCGTAACTTCGCGGGATCTTTTACAGAGCCACAGTGTTTCTCCGAACCGACTAATTTAATAAATTACATTTTTCAATATTATCTTTTGTAACTCGTCCACACAAATGGCAGACATAAAATTATAAAGGAATAAAGGGAAACTTCTGTTTCTTTAGACTTAGCCGCATTTGTGTGGCTTGTTTATTTGTGGTTTAACCAATAGTGGCTATGTGAATCATTCTGAGACGCATAGATTTTGGGTCAGAAGAACGGGCAAAGCATATGT